AATGAAGTCCGGTAGCAAAGAAAAAAAAAGCAAATAAAGCCTCGCTTTGACGTCTCCCTTGGAAAAAACGCCGCTTAATCAGTTTTGTCAAAAAATCACACAGGTTTCTTCTAATAATCAGAGTGACCTTTCAAACCTCAAAAAATTAGAAAAAAAAAGTTTCTCACCCAACCGACAGACTTTCTTTCAGACTCGTTCTTTCTGGAGCTGCCCCAACTTCAGCAGCATGGGGGCTGCCTCTCCGCTGCCAGCAAAAAGAGCTTCTCCCAGGTCATCCAGGGACTTTACGGTGTCCCTGGAGTCCACAGGGTACACTCTTCACAATAGCCGTCCCAACGGGACGGTTTAGGTCCGTTTGGACCGGCCGGAAACAAAGATATCGGCTGCAATCGAAGAGCTCGATTGCAAACCGTACCGTCACGGCGCCAGCTCCTCCCAACTCACTTACTTATTGGAAATTAAGCTAGAGGAAGAACAAGTTAAAGAAACTATGATTGCTTGGGGGAGGAATTTTGGATACGGGATTGACCTAGAGAAATGGCAGAAATTATGGTTGCAAAACTATAAAATGACAATGTCCACAGCCTATAAAGAAAACTTGTATAAGATGTTTTACAGGTGGCATTTTCCCCCAACAAGAATAGCAAGAATGTTCAAGAACAAATCGGAAAAATGTTGGAAATGTCATCAGAAACCTGGTTCATACTACCATATGTGGTGGACTTGTGAGGATGCTAGAAAATATTGGACTAAAATCCGCATGTGGTTGGAAAAAATGACAAAGAAGCATATAGATTTGAAACCGGAGCTTTTCTTATTGGGAATCTTACCAGATGTTTATAGTAAAGATTTGAAATATTTGATTGTAAATGTATTAACTGCGGCTAGGATTGTATTTGCAAAAAAATGGAAAAATGAGAAAATTCCATTGCAGGAAGAAGTTATAAAGAAAATATTGGAATGTGCTGAGATGAGTAGATTGACTTTTGAAATTAGAGAGCAAGAAGATAAACAATTTTATATAATTTGGGATCTTTTCTATCAATGGATGAATGATGAAATACAAAAATAGAATATTTAGAATGTTAGACAATAAGGAATAATATTGATTTCACTTTTATTTTTTATTTTTTGGTATTTGATATTATATTTATAAAATGTTTTTTCTTTTTTTTCTTTTATTTAGGATAGAACTGGTATGATTATATGATTTGTTATAGAATAAATTACTTAAATTATAGTTATCTCATAAGGCATGATTGAATAAAGTATAGTCAAATCTTTTTTTCTTTAATAATGATATGAGGATATATAAGTTTGGATTGATAATAAGAGTTATTATATAAGGTAATTGTAATTGTGACTACGAAATGAATGCACAAAACTGATGAACCAACCGACTCACTGTTTGTATATAAATACGGATGAGAGCTGATGTTTTTATGTTTTGTCTGTTTGTTTGTTTGTTAAAAAAACAATAAAATTGTTTTTTTTAAAAAAAGGAGAAAAGAAGAGATAAAAAGAAGAGAAAAAAACCAGTCCAGTTTCAAAATATAAGATCATGTGTAGAAAATCCAGCAATGAAAAAAAAAAATTACTTTGACATTCCTGTTTAAAATCACCACTTAATCAATTCTGTCAAAACTTTTACAGATTCTTTCTTTTCCTTAGGGTGTCCTTTCAAATCTTAAAATAAAGAAAAAGTTCTCACCATACCGGCACACTCTCTCTTTCCGTTCTCTTTCGTTTCGGAGCTGTCTCAACTTCAGCAAGCTTTAATGGCTGCCTCTTTGCCGCTGGCAAAAAGAGCTTCTCCTGGATCTACCAGGGACTTTGTGGTATCCCTGGGATCAACAGGATGTGCTCTTTACATTCTCTTTACATTCAGGACGGTTTAGAACCACTTGGACCGTTCAGGAGCAAAGTTATCGGCAGCGATCTCAGACCTCCAAGATTGCATGTCGTATCATCGCGATGCCAGCTCCGCCCTCCAGGGTTGCTTCTATTTAAGGAGAGCAGAGAGCTCAAGGCTGTCCATTGGGAACAACTCACTCTGTGTCCTTCTGAAACCTTTTGACTTCGGCCTAATGTAAGTTTCCCCCAACCCCAAATAAACCAGACAGGGGGAAAATGGTGAGCTCATTCTGCTGTATTGTAACGTTACATTAAGAGAATCTTGTGAGTATAAAAGTACAAATCTCCCACTGTTTCATTTTAACCACCTTATAATTTAGAGTGAATCTCTTCTGGGTGTCTTTTTCTGCCCATTATTCAGCTATGGGCTTCCCTTGACATTTATCGGATCCTCAGCTCTTCTCCCCCTCATTTTCCAAGATCATTCTGACACATACCATTACGTCCCCTTCTTCCCCCCTGCCCCAAATTCCCAGGGAAAACAGATTGTGGGCTGTGAGAATGACATGTCATTACTTTTATTTATTTGTTTTGATAGTTTAATGTCTACAGCCGTCTATCTCAACTAATTGACTCTGGGCTGAAAACTCTTTTAAAATGCATGTGCTCAGGATCACAGGTGGCATCCCTAAATTTTCTCTTCCCGTTTATGTGATAAGTGCTCCTCCCTCAGGAATCTGGTTCGCACTTCTGTGCCTGGTGTGGAAGGAGCAGGTGCACTTTCCCTTAATCAGTCTCTTGCTCTTCTTGAGGCTCCCTCCACCTCAAAGATGAACTCTTCCTGCTCGTCTTGATTACCGGCTAACTCCTGCAAGGCCAGGTTTGCAGGGATATTGGTTGTGCCAGCATGGTAGCCACCATGGAACGTGGACATCCAATTGCTGCCTTCTTTCTGATTCTGGATCGCCTTTCCAGGATTTGACCCATCTGCCTTTTGCCTATAGTGTAACACAACTTACAGCTCCTATTCTTCCTCCTTGTTTGTTAGAATGGGGAAGAGGAGTGGTCTGTGAGTGCAAGGAGCAGCCGCTTTCAAAAGAAAATGCCGATGGAACAGAGGGTGAACTTTCATTGAAACTGACAAAAATTGCTAATAAACAATCAATAACTTTTAAGGCACATTTCTTGGAAGTTCTCATGGATGTTGTGTATTTGTTGATAGCCACATCTTCAGCTTGTCCGTTGCATGCTGAATCATCGATGCATGGATGACAAATTAATGTTAATATTCAATAAGTGCAAGAGGACCTTCCAAAATTTAGAAGTGAAATGACTTCCTCAGTCTGTTATTGCAGGATTGACCAATCCTCTGTATCTAAAGATGGGATCTGTAAAGATTTGGAGCCGCTTCTTGGAATTTGGAGTTCTGTTGAAAGAATAAAATAGGCCTATTCAGAATTTGTTCTTGTGATTATACACACAATATGACTTCGTAACTTACGTATTTTAATAGGCAAACCAGCTGCTCAAAGAATCCAGTAGAAATTGAAGGCTTAGAAGCTTCACAGTGTTTAGTAGGAAATTGGGGTAGAAAGCCCTGATTCTTAGTGTTGCTAGAGCAGGGGTGTCAAACTCGATTTCATTAAGGCCGGATCATCATTGTGGTTGCCCTCCGCGGCTGGTGGGGGGAAGGGGTTGTAGCCGTGTGGTCGCTGCCAACTGGGCATGATCCAGCCGCATAGCCAGCTTGCTGTGGCTCACGTGGATGATACCTTTAGTAGTCGGGCAGGAATCGAGAGGGAATCCAGGGGTCTCCGATGGGTGGAATGGGGTGTGGGAGGCTGGTCCTGCGGAAGAAGATGAGGTGAGGCAGGGGGCGGGGCAGGTACAGGCAATGTGTTTTCAGCTGCTTTCTGTGCCTCTTGGTTTCCCACCCCACCCCTCCCCCACCAGCCTGGTCTGGTCTGGTGGGGGGATTGCCTTCCACCTTCAGCGCTGCACCATGAATGGGGATCACCCCGCCATGGTCAAAGTAAATCCTGGGCACTGCACTGCAATGGACAGGTGAAAAGCACAGGTTTTGTCTGGAGGAGGAGGAGGAGGAGCAAGAAGAAGAAAGAGGGAAAGTGGCCAAGTGAGAAGCATCCCGGGATGGTGGGGGATGGGAAGAAACGACGCGAGCCCTTACAGTTTCCAGGATGGCCGTGTGGGACAGATCTGACCTCATTGTGGGCTGGATTCGGCCAGCTGGCCTTGAGCTTGACACCCCTGTGCTAGAGCATGCTAGGAAGAGAGAAAATTGAGATGGTGTGCAAAGAGAAAGGTTCTCCAGAACCCAAGGAAGAGAGAAGTTGTATGGTAATGGAACACATTTTAGAAGTTGTGGTGGTCAGAGGAGTACACGTTCTTCATGTAAAGACTATAGGTGCCACAAAACACCTGTATTATTTTGCCAGAAAGGTCTCACCGTCCAAATTGTCACATTTATATGAAGGGCAGGTCAAGTGCCTTTTGTTGGGCAACAGGATTCTACTTGAGTACAGATAGTCCTCGACTTACAACAGTTCGTTTAGTGACCATTCAGAGTTACAACAGCACTGAAAAAAGTGACTGGTGGCTGTTTTTCACACTTACAACCGCTGCAACATCCCCATGGTCACAGACTCAAAATTCAGATGCTTGGCAGCTGGTTCATATTTATGACGGTTGCAGTGTCCTGCCATCATCAGATCCGCCTTTGCGTCCTTCTTGCAAGCAAAGTCAATGGGGAAGTCAGATTCACTTAACAACCCTGTTACTAACTTACCAAGTGCACTTAACAACTGTGTCAAGAAAGATGTTAAAGTGGGCCATAGCTCACTTCTCAAACGTTTCACTTAGCAACACAAATGTTGTGCTCAATTGTGGACCTAACTCGAGGACTACCTATAATCATACAAGGATGGTGGTCAAAGAATACTAGATCTCTTTCTTTTCTTCTGCAGACTGAGAAAACAGTAGGAACCTGTGGGGTAACTGGCCTTGGAAAAGGATTCTCATTAGGAGCATCACAATACAATGACTTAGCCAAGCATCATAGTTCTGAGGCTAGCTGAAAGTCTGCAGGGAATTCTTCAAAAGCTCTTTGCACCTACCTCGGTCTATACCGGTTTACACTCCTGCATGCAATCTTCCTGATTCAAAAAGTTGTTTCTGTTGCCGTTGCAGCCACCAAACTTGAATGGTTTACAAATCTTGGTCGTGCGATCGTAGTAAAAACGAGTAAAGTTTTCTTTGCATGGTCCAACATCTAATGGTTGGTCACACGTATCTAGCATGGCTTCTGGGAGATTCAGGAAGATGAACATAAGAGAGGGGTGTGTATAAAAGTGTGCTTTTATTTAACAGCTTGAATGTTTTCTTCCATATACAACAAGGGAAACTGCAGAAGCGACTCTTGACAATGTTGATCAAGCAATAAAGATAACTATCCATACATCTGGTCTCTACATTTTCAAGTTTTCTATCTCATTCTCAGGGGGCTTAGTTTGGTTTTTCTGAGCAGACATTAGTGCTGCAAAGTAGAGGGTGGTGTTGGAGTTGTCCTCTTTGAACATCTTTCCAGTATAGTTTTCTGAAGTTGTCCTACCTTCCACTTTTCCCCATCTGAAAAAGCTCAAAGGAAGCAGTTGTGCCTCCTTGGAAATTAATGGAAGCATGGGTTGTGTGTTAATTCAAGTCGTACAATTATGGACAAATCCAAACTTCTTCAAGCCAATGTGAAATATATCAAGAAGTGAAGCACATACATAGGAAAATTACAAGCAAGTGATAGAAGGTCCAAAGCCATCATATATCTTAAAGGTCAAATGAAATCCACAATGGAGTTCTTACCTGGAGACAAAGGTTTCACAGTATCTCCTACAGTAGGGATAAGAAGAAGTATGTTATTTAAGGACGCTTCTAGGTGTTTAACCATGGGTGGGTTCTACCAGTTCGCACCTATTTGTTAGAGCAGACTTTCTAAGCAGTTCGGAGAACCGGTTGTTAGAAGAAATCTCTTTTTTCCACTTTACAGGCCCAATACTGTAAGGTGTTGTTACAAATACTGCCTCTCTGTTAACCCTTATTACATTCTTGGCAGAACTAGATTTCCTGTCTCCGGAGCTTCTCTGGGGTTTTTTTTCCTCTCTTTTGCTGCTACTTTGCTTGTGTGGAGCCTGAAATTGAGATATGTATGGCCATTTCACTTGGAAACCTGACAGTTTGGCTTTCTTAAAGGGGAAGGATTATTTTAAGCTATTTACATTGCTGTTGGGAGGAAATACTCCCCTGTTGGAGTTAGCACTTTGAAGAAATAATTGAATAAGGAAGCAGAGCTGCTGTAAAGAAGCTTTTAATAACAAGGAACCAAGATGAGTGACATTCAGCAAGGCTTCTTGGCTAGCGAGAAAGATTGACATTCAAATGTGAGTTTACATGCCTTTTCTGAGTTTTGTTCTAAAGCTGGTTTTTGGTGAAACATATCCAGAAACAGTCACAAAGTGGTTTCTGTCCTAGAAACAATGACCTCAAAATCAGTGGTGGGATTCAATTTTTTTTACTACTGGTTCTGTGGGCATGGCTTGGTGGGCATGGCAGGGGAAGGATACTGTAAAATCCCCATTCCCTCCCCATCTCACTAACCTGCTTTCCAGCTCTGTTCCCCTGTGCAGAGTAACAAAAGAAGACCCAGCCAAGCAGCAGAGAATAGATGGGGGCGGGGCCAGTCAGAGGTGGTATTTGCCGGTTCTCTGAACTACTCAAAATTTCCACTACCAGTTCTCCAGAACTGGTCAGAACCTGCTGAATATCACCTCTGCTCAAAATGCAATTTATAGTATAGTATCTATTGTAAATTTCATAATATAAAATATTTTTAAAATGTTTAAAAATGTCATTCATAAGCAAAACAACTCAAAGAAATGATATCGAATTTCTCAGTGGTTGCTTTCCTTGCTGCTTGGTCATTAAAGGGCTAATTTAAAATCCAGGAAGAGCATGACAAGCCCAGACCATATATTTAATATTTCAGTTCCTGAATTACATTTCCAACAACAAGGAAATGGCTTATGAAATGTATCTTGTAGTATTTAATAAATATAGAATTTTTACCTTGCAGATGTATTAAGCACAATGCATAATTTTAAAAAGAGAAATGCAACTGCATATCTCTGTGTAACAGAACAATAGAGTTGGAAGGGACCTTGCAGCTCTTCTATCCAACCTGCTGATCAGGCAGAAAATCATATACCTTTTCAGACATTCTCTTCTCTAAGAAACCTCCAGAGTTGGAACATCCACAACTTCTGAAGGAAAGTCGTTCCACTGATTAATTATTCTCATGGTCAGGAAATTTCTCCTTAATTCTAAGTTGCTTCTCTCCTTGATTAGTTTCCATCCTTTGTTTTTGTCCTGCCTTCTGGTACTCTGGAGAATAGGTTGACCCCCTCTTTTTTGTGGCAGCCCCTCAAATATTGGAACACTGCGATTGTATCACCCCTAGTCCTTCTTTTCCCTAGACTAGACATACCCAATTCCTGCAACCGCTTTTCATATGTTTTAGTCTCCAAGCCCCTAATCATCTTAGTTGCTCTTCTCCGCACTCTTCCTAGAGTCTCAACCTCTTTTTTATATTGTGATACTCAGCTAATTAATTAATTCTGGGCAGCGGAATATAAAATTGTTTCAACGTACCAAACGCATCACAGGCCTTGTTGCATTGGTCGAAGGTCTGAAAATTGTTTGCATTTCCTCCACAGCCACCGTAAGTAAACAATCGGCATCTCTTGTTGAAGGCATCATAATAATAGCGAGGAATTTTACCCTTGCATTTTCCTTTCCTGGGCCATAATTTGCAATTCCTCGGTGTTTCTAAAAGGAAAATGGGTATTGGAAACTAAAGCTCTGTTACATCTCTTTTTTGAAATGCAGAAATGAAAATATCAAGCAACAATAACTGCCTAACCCAGCTCCTTGAGGACTTGAAAGGTGGATTAAGTGCCATAAACATAATAATCATAATAAGAAAACAGAGGACAGTTCACTGTGCATTCTATCCTTCTAGAGTAATGCTTAAAGGTCATATTTGTCCTGCAGAAATGGAGGTAGAGATATACCTCAAGTAAAATAAATGGTCTTTGCCTGTTTATTTTTCATTTTTAAAAAATTCAATATATGTTGGATTATGCAAAGGACAGCCAAGAAAAGCATTGGTGCAAGTAAAAATGGAAACTTAGTAGATGTACAGGAAACAAAATATGAATATTGAAATAATGTAATTTAACAAATAACAATGCTGGCAAGGAAAAGCATATTGCAAGATCAGTTTGTACAAAAGATCAAGGGAAAAAGTGGATAAAGATAAACCCTGGCAATGGCTTCCAACAGGAACATTAAAACAACAACATCAAACTGATAAGAACAGATATTACACTTGATCTTAGCCAAAAGGCCGAGAAGCGAGTTAAGTTTGATCGATATATGGAGAAGATCACATCCTGAGAAAAAACAATTTACATTCTATTCAAATCCTCATCAAATATGGACACAAATTGATATGGCATGGATGAATGGGGAATTAGCAAATGAGAAAAAAGGGATTGAAATTTTACCTAATGAATGGGCAGATTACAGTCCAATTCAGATTATCTGGAAGGGTAGGGAAAAACCCAAGAAAAGATGGACATTAAATACTCAGTTAATAAGAGAAAAAGAATACACCAACAAACTCAAGGAGGAATTAAATTATTTCTTAAAGGAAAATGATAATGGAGCAACTATGAAACAAAACATTTGGGATACAATGAAGGCAGTAATAAGAGGTATAACAATCTCTTACAACGCCAAGAGGAATAAGGAAAAATACGCCCAGCAAAACAAATTACAACAAAAAATTAAGGAACTAGAAACTCAATTACAGAGTACCCCAAAGGATTCAAAATTGCAAAATCAGATAATAATAACTAAACATAAACTGAATTGAATTGAACAAGAGAGAATTTGAATACAACTAGACAAACTTATTTTGAGCATGCTAATAAGCCAGGGAGATGGCTATCATATAGACTAAAAAAAAGGAAAGAAAAGAGATTAATATACTAGCTAATAGATGGAAAGGGGGATATACAACAGGAGATAGAACAGAAAAAAGAAATTGCCCATAAGTATTTTGAAGAGTTATATAAAAAGGAAGAAGTTAACGAAGATAGAATAAGAAACGATTTAGATGAAGTGAAGGATAAAGCAATTGGGAAGAAATTGAAAAATGATTAAACAAAGACATTACTTGGTTTGAATTGAAATCAGCAATAGAGATCCAGAAAAACAATAAACCCCTGGTACCAGATGGGATTCCAGGGGAGCTGTACAAGGCAATAGCAGAACAAATAGGACCTCTTATGGTGGAAGTTTTTAATGACGTCTTATTGGCAGCCAGGATGCCGGACTCATGGAGGGGGGCATTGATTTCGCTGATCCCGAAGGAGGATTTGGATCCCCGATATATACATAATTATAGGCCGATTTCATTGTTAAATACTGATTACAAAATATTCTATTATAGCAAGTAGACTAAAAAGAATGTTAAATGAGCATATATATGAAGATCAAAATGGATTTCTCCCAACCAGACAAATCAGGAACAACTTAAGAATAGTACTAGATGTCTTAGAATTTTACGAAGCCCACCCCAAAAAACAAATTGCACTTATATTTTTAGATGCAGAGAAGGCCTTCGATAATTTAAATTGGCAATTTTTAATCCAAAAAATTTATAATATGAATTTAGGCACCAAATTTGAAAATATTGTAACAACCATTTATGATACACAACAGGCTAACATTATAATAAACGGGGAATATACCCGCCCAATAAAAATAGAAAAAGGAGTCAGACAGGGCTGCCCACTCTCACCCCTGCTCTTCATATTATCATTAGAAGCATTACTAAAGCGAATTAGACAGAACCCAGACATAAAAGGATTAAAGGTTAAGAAAGAAGAATATAAGTTGCAAGCGTTTGCGGATGATATGATTTTTCATTGAGGAACCAATAGAAAGAGGACAAAAATTGATGAATGAATTAGAACAATTTGGAGCAGTAGCAGGACTTAAAATTAATAGGAAGAAAACAAAATTAATGACTAAAAATTTAATAGAAAAACAGAAAAGAACTAGAAGAAGTTATGGGAATACAAGTGATAAAGAAAGTTAAATACTTAGGAATATGGTTGACAGCACACTGTAAGACACTTAAGGAAAATAATTATGATAAATTGATGCAACAGGTAAAGAAGGATTTAGAATCATGGGGTAAGATAGAACTTTCATTATTAGGCAGGATTGCTGCTATTAAAATGAATATTCTTCCGAAATTCCTATATATATTTCAGACGATCCCAATCAAAGTACACAATGTTTTTTTAAGAACTTAATAAAATAACTGTAAAATTTATCTGGCAAGGGAAAAAACCTAGAATAAATTTTAAGGCAATGCAGGATATGAAGAGCAGGGGAGGGCTGGCACATCCAAATTGGGAGTTGTATTATAGTACAGCCTCTTTAGTATGGTTAAATGGGTGAATTTAACCAATAAATGAATATTATTCTTAGAAGGCCATGACTTGCAAAGTGGGTGGCATGCTTTTTTATGGGATGTAGGGAAAACTAGCCAGAAATATTTTCACAGACACCTAATCAGAGACTCATTATTAACTAATTGGAAGAAAATACGGAAAAAAACACTATTTAAAAATACCAATTTGGATTTCAACAATGGAGGCAATGATTCACCCAAATAATCTGGATATCACTAAAATGATTAAATATAAGGATCTATTGGATACTCAAGGAAATTTAAAATTGTGGCAAGAACTTCAAGAGCGGGGACTAAAAGTTGATCAGTGGGCATATCTTCAAATTCAAAGTAGAAACAGGACAAGAAAGAATTTGGAATTAACAATAAACTCCAGCAATTAAATAAAATTTTATTAGGATCAGGCAAAAAAAACAACAACAAAATTTTATTATTATTTATTAGAAGTAGAATGAGAAGAAGAAATTGTAAAAGGGAACATGATAGCCTGGAGTAGGAATATAGGACGTAGCATCACCATAACAGAATGGGAAAAGGTCTGGGGTAGAAATAATAAAATTACAAAATCGGTAGCATACAAAGAAAACGCCTATAAAATGTTTTATAGATGGCACCTTCCTCCATTGAGATTAGCAAAGATGTACCCCAATATGAGTCCGAATTGCTGGAAATGCAAAAAAAAAAAAAAAAGAGGGAACTTTTTTCCACATGTGGTGGTCCTGTACAGAAGCTCAAAAATATTGGCAGAAAATTAGAAATTGGCTGGAAGAAATGACAAGAGAACAGATCGAATTCAAACCAGAGTCCTTTCTGTTAGGGATCTTTGATAAACAAATATCAAAAAAAGTGAAATATATAATAATACAGCGGTCAGATTGGCTTTTGAACAATGTTGGAAGCAGCCTCATATTCCATCAGAGGAGATGATCATTCAAAAACTTTCAAGTTGTGCAGAAATGGACAAATTAACTTTGGCATTAAAAAATAAAGACACTTCAATATACTACAACAGCTGGAACTGCTGGTACAAATGGATAGACCAAAGATAGACTTCACACTAAAAGGCAAAAGAGGATAGGATAAATCCATAGTAGTGATACACAGATATATGTAAAGATTAGGTGTGTGTATATGGCATAAAATAAGGATAAAAAAGAGGTCTTACAAACTGTTGAAGATGAGAATGTTTTTAATTGTTTTCTTTTTTTTCTTTCTATTTTCTTCTCCCTTTCTTCTTTTTCTCTCTTTCATTTATATATGTGTTATGGTTTGTTTTAATTGTAAAATCCATAAAAAAATTTTTTAAAAAACAACAACATCAGCAACAACAACAACTAAAGACTTGATTTAGGCTGCATAAGAATGAGCTTTTCAAAACAACGCAATCAAGGCCACAACTGAAAAATTATCAAATGATTCAAAGTGCAGGTTGTGCAGAGAAACAGAAGAAACCGTAGATCATACCCTCGTGCATGAAGACTACACAAACTTATTATGATATAATGCAATTGCCAGAATGATTCATTGGAACATATGTGAAAATTATCACATGCCAGTAATGAAAAACTGGTGAGAACATATAGTTGAAAAAGTAGTTGAAAATAAGCAGGTTAAAATACTGTGGGATTTCTGAATATGAACTGTTAACATCTTCGCTTATAAGTTCACAATGCACGAGAGATAATTGTGGTTGAAAAGAAGAAAACTGGATAACTGTTGTGTACTAGGGGATAGTAGAATAGAAGATGAATTAGAAAAAACCACGAAGTATTAATATCTGAAAAATTTCAGAACTGAAAGATTATGGCACAAACTATCTGTGGTCCCCCCAAAATAAAAAGTTAATCTGATATAACAGGGGTGTCAAACTCAGGTCATAACGGCGGTGTCACGTGACATACGGGGACTTTTTTCCCTTTGCTAAGCCAGACGTGGGCGTGGCCAGCATGTGACGTATCTGGGCTGGAAGTTTGACAGCCCTGTGATATAATATGCTCTTGACAGACCCATGCTGACTTTTAGTTATAGTACATTTATTAATTACTCAGACACATGTTGTTTGTCAAACCTTTCTAGTTCCTTGCTCAGTATAGATACTAAATTGACAGATCTGTAGCTTACCCCCTCTTTCCTTTTCTGAATTGTGAGACTACATTTTTTCCTGTCCTGATTTCAGTGAAAAGAATACAGTAGCACTATCACTTAGACTTATATACCACTCGATAGTGCTTTACACAGTACTCTCTGAGCAGCTTACAATATCAGCCTATTGCCCCCAACAATCTCGGTTTTCATTTTACTGACCTTAGAAGGTTGGAAGGCTAAGTCAACCTTGAGTTTCTTAGAATCAGACTCCAGGCTTTGGGCAGAGTTATCTACAATACCGCATTCTAACCACTGCGCCACCACTGCTTCTACAGTAACCCCCCAAGCAAATGCAAGGCAAAATGCAGTGTGATGCAGACACTTGGGGACAAGGCTTGCAGAGATGCTGGGCAGGAGAACATGCACTTTGGAAAGAGCAGTTGGAGTAGAGCATTTAGAGATTTGTGAAGGCATCAGGTTGTTTTCCTGATGAAATGACAGCTGATGGGCAGGAGAGGTGACAGGAGAGGAAATGGGAAGCAAGAGAAAGACTACATATGTTCATTACAGCTTATTGTAGGATGAGGAGTAGACATCATTCAAGATAGATAGTCCATAATCAGAAAACACACAATGTTGTCAAAAGTACCAAGGGAAGAGTCAAAGACTTAGCCAGGAACACTCTGAAGTTGAAAACAGAGCAGGAGTCAAGAGCAAGACTAAACAAAGTGCAAATCCAGATGTCAAAGTTGGTTTCAAGCAACAGAAGGTAGTCCTGGCATGGTTTAAATCTTCTCCCTGCAGGCATGTACAGCCGAACCTTTCCATGCTCAATAGTTACCATGAATGAGGCTCCAGGCTTGTTTGCAGAGTCAGCATCTTGCTTGTGAGGTCCTTACTTAATAGGATATGAGATTCTCAGGCTGGGGAGGGGTTTCTCCCTACTTCTTGACACCCGAGATGGCTAAAGCAGGATCAGTGTTGGCTGAGGAGGGACCTGAGAGGGTGTCAGTGTTTGATTCAGCAGCTGGGGTGACAAAATCTGGCCAGATCTAATCAGCTTATTTCTGGGAGCCCTGCTCTGAGACCATGACTATATTAGCTCTTCTCCAATCCTCTGACATCTCATACAATAATACTCCCACATTTCCCCCCAAAAATATTGTAATTGGTTCTAAAATCATGTGTGCCAACTCTTTCTCTACCATCATATTGATTGACTCTCAACCCTTGTGCCTGTGGAACAGATGCTCTACGTCTAAGCTAGGGTCCATCCCATCATCAGGCTAACAGGCTCCCCAATATTATAAAGCAAAAGTATTCTGCATATTCTATGCCATGGAAAGAAGATCTGCTCTTCAGATGTAAACAGCATGCAACCTGCTTCACTCCAACAGGCAATATAAACAGAGAAAGGAGGTTATCAGAAAAGGAAGAGGTGGTGTCAGAAAAAAAAAAGAATAGCTGTCCCATCCACTTTCCCCAGGAGTCATTCACTGTTTGGGCTCAATTCAAACATCACAGCATGTGTATCCTTTATGCCCTTGTGGAAATGTGACGCTAGTAATGAAATTATCTTGTTTACTTAAAAGGCAGCCAAACCATCACTTAACTATGAATTCCCTGGAGTTCATTGTGCAGATAACAATGGAACTCTTACTTTTCCTCCATTGTATTTCTCCCACGATGTTTTCCCAGGTAGTAAAGAAGCCTACAAATAAAAATAGAGACAGCAATGTTAGTAGATAACAATGTGGAAGGAGGGATCAAGAGTGGGCCTAGCTTAGAGTTGCTGCACAGCCACAAGAGGCGTAAGCTTGACCTCCCCCATGAAGCTTTATCTGGTCGTTCCCAGGAGAAGGCAAGCAGTGGTGAGATTCTTGTAACATAGGCGAAAGACAATAAAGTTACTGATATTAACTACTCTTCAGTGGCTCTGGTTGCTCGTGCTTGACAAAATGATGTCATTTATTTATTGGATCATTTAGACCAGGTGTGTCAAACTCAAGGCTTAGATCTGGACCATGGGGCTGCCCTGGAAACAGTGAGGGATTGGCCTGCGGTGCCTCTGCCAGCGAAAACGGAGCTCAGGAGGGCCGACCGTGGCTTTCACAAGCTCCGTTTTTGCTGGCACAGCATTTGGGCCACCATAGGTGTCCCCAACATGAGTGACATTGAGCTATCCATGCCCTCTAGCCACGCCCCCCCCAGGGTCAAACACAATCCAGATGTGGCCCTCAATGAGATCGAGTTTGACACCCCTGATTTAGGCAGCAGAGGTCAAGAATGAGATGAGAAAAGCAAGAGACATCAAATTTTCATCAATTAAACAGAACAATACTGATAACGTTAAAGTTATGCAATAACTTATTAAATTACAGTGCTTGGACCTATCAACAGTATGCGAATAATATTAAATTGAAAGCCTTATTTATGGGTTAATTAAATTCAAAAATACTAAGTCACAACTTCTAACTTTTTATGCCAGTGATGACCAAAAACACAGCGAAGAGGAATTAAAATGATGGAGCACGAATACATACAACAGGCATTTTAAAAATCAGTTTTAAACAGTTTAAGAGGGAAGAGTTTCAGTGGCCTTACCAAATCTTTTACACGTATAATAGCAATCCAGCAGATTTACGAAGTTATTTTTATTGCCACCACAACCTCCAAAGATGAAGGTCTTACACATATTGCTGTTATGATCATAGTAGAAATTCTCGAAGTCTTCGTTACATCTTCCCTTTTTGGGTGGTAATTTGCATTTGTGAGGCAGAAATACTGGGAGGAAAGAAAGGGAGGGGAAGGGGGGAAAGTTGTTTCAGACACATTAATCTCGTCTTATGAAAAATGCAGATATAAATTTTGACTTACGGTATACCTGAAGTACTTTAAGCTTACTTTTGAAATAAATAAATTATTATTATTATGATTTAAAACAATGTTTCTGGATTTCCTGCAAAACAGCAGGTCTTCACTGATTTCATGAATAACTGGCTGAGTTCTAGCACTGAATAAAACCCTAGGAGGAACGGGATGGTTCCTGAACTATAAACTCATTAAATGCCTGGATTCACACAACACATGAAACCACAAAAACTAGCCAATAGATCCGTGATGGCGAACCTATGGCACGCATGCCATTTCTGCTGGGACATGGGATGTTGCCCTGAAGAGCCCCAGTGTGCATGCGCGCACTCCCCCTGCCAGCCGGCTGATAGTTGGGTGTCTGGCGTGCATGCGCAGGGGAGACACATACATGGGAGATGTGTGCGCATAGCCAGAGGCATGTGGTGTGTGGGGGTTGTACACGCATGCGCAGGGGGGGCAGAGGAGTCATGCACATATTGCATCATGGGTGCAGGCGTGTGAGAGAGAGAGCACACACTTTTGGCACGCAACGTGGAAAAGGTTAGCCACCATTGCATTAGGTTATAGATGTGTGACTCACCCATTTGAATGTGTTTTGGTTGATGTGATCTGATTCTATGATACACTTTACTGTAGTTCACAGTATCTGCATTCACACAACACATAGTCCCATCCACTAACCACCCAAGTTGGGCTTGTTCAGAACATTAGGCTACATGGTGTTAAACCAGATTGTGGCTGAGTACAGCTAAAACGGCAGAAGTGAAAGACGATAGAGCCTCCCTCAAACTGTTCTGCAACAACTGTATTCAGCACAGTGACTAGTTATGGTTTAGACCAGGGGTTCTCAATCTGTGGTCCACAAACTCCTGGGGGGCTGTGATATAGGGGGTCTGCAAAGGCGTGAATGATTTAAATCTTGAGTTAAGTCTTGGGGGGGTCCATGCCCATGGTCCATGGCTACAAAAGGTATTTAAAGGTGGCCCATAGTGCAGAAAACGTTGAGAACCACTGGTTTAGACTTTTCCTAATCCACTTAGTTATAAAACTTGCCTTTGATTCACATGAAGTGGCAATTATCCACCCATTATGACTAATTCAATAAATCCAGAATAAGGGAATTGTGAGAACTCCGTGAGAAAAAATAATAATAATACAGTTCTGGAATTCCCCAAAGCAAGAAACGAAGGAAGAAATCATACAAGAATTGCACAAGATTAGCTGAACCCGAAGCCCTTTGCAATATTTATAGTCTCTGAAATTATAAAAGTTACAGCCTGGATGCATTTCAGGAAGTGGCTGAATGGAAGCACTTTGTCTATAAACCGTACCTTTCCGCACAGAACCAGGTGTGTTAAGTTCCAGGAGAATGATAAGACAGATGGTGCCCCAATTCTGCATGGCAAGTGCCCCACAAGAGTGCTGGCTTTCAAGTGTCTCCTTATATATAACGTCTGACAAAGGAACTGATTAATTTTCAATAGTCAGGGATGCTTTGAACCTGTTCTATTTTAGTTCATGGTACACTGTATTTAAACTGCTGTTCAGTTAAGGTTGATTGCATTTTAGTTCAGGACACCATGCAATCATTAAGTCAACCAGGTGGCCTTACTACCAGGTTTCCAGCCCACAACTGATGAAGAGAACATCCTGTTCTTTCAAAAAATGATGCTACTCCTCAGTAACATCATGCCCACACTCCCTATGACATTCACATATGGGCCACAGTGTCCCTCCACTTTCTCTATGCTGAATATGCAAAAACAATCATGCATATCTTTGACTTCTTTAAAGTCAAGATCTTCATCATTCACCTTTATGCCCCTGTATGAATTCATTGTGTTGTTCATCTAAAAGCCACAGTGGCGCAGTGGTTAGAGTGCAGTACTGCAGGCTACTTCTGCTGACTGCTGGCTGCCAGTAGTTTGGCAGTTCAAATCGCACTGGCTCAAGGTTGACTCAGCCTTCCATCCTTCCAAGGTGGGTAAAATGAGGACCCAGATTGTTGGGGGCCAGAGGCTGACTCTGTAAAACCGCTTAGTAAAGCACTGTGAAGCGGTATATAAATTTATGTGCTAGTGCTGTTGCTTAAAACTTATTAACTGCACTTCATTATTTAGAATCATGCTTGGTTAATAGGATCAAACAATTTGGTATTGGTTTTTTAAATATATGTGTTCTTTTCTCTTCTAAATAAAACTTTGCTACTAATGATAGCTATTTTTATCCCCCAAGCTGGGATCATTGTTGATCTGAAGAAAACACACACACACAATCAACATTTAGTTTAGTCTTTTTTATTTTTATTTTTTCTTGCTATTGCTATTGGCAACTGAGCCCATTGATTGGGAGTTCACCTACAGTAAAATAATTGCCACTAATGCTACCTTCAACGCTTTGTCTCAGCTGACCATTAAAAGATGCCTTTAGTAGCACTAATAACCACAGCAATAGCAAAGATTAAGAGCTGGTTGCAATCAGGGTTTCCCAGAATCTGTTGAAAGGGATCTTACAAATGAGGGGTCCATAACCCCTGGGCCATGGCCCACTATTGGGCTGTGGCCCATTCAGTACAGGGCCACACAAACATTGGGTGAGTGTGCACCTGTGCAAAGCTCCATTTTCATGAGTGATGGGCACTTGTGTGAGCAACTGTGTGAGTAATGGGTCTCTTATTCACGCACAAAGCTCCACCTATGCAAGCAGCGGCTTGTACAAATGGAGTTGCATGTGCCTGCTGTTGACATGGAACCATCTCCTCTCTACTCCAGAGGTGGTATTCAGCAGGTTCTGACCAGTTCTGGAGAAAGGGTAGCGGAAATTTTGAGTAGTTCAGAGAACTGGCAAATACCACCTCTGACTGGCCTCGCCCCCATCTATTCTCTGCCTCCCAAGTCCCAGCTGATCAGCTGGGTCTCCTTTGGTTGCCCTGCACAGGAGAACGGAGCTGGAAAGCAGGTTAGTGGGGTGGGGAGGGAATGGAATTTTGCAGTAACTTTCCCCTGCCATGCCCACCAAGCCATGCCCACTGAACCGGTAGTAAAAAAATTTGAATCCCACCACTGCTTGGTGGACCCTGCCAGTCCACCAAGCTGGAAAGGTTATAAATCATGGTCAATCCACCCTCCATGGTCCTCTATCTCCAGCTTGAAAGCTGGTGGTAGGGTGGAGTCCATGTCATTTCTAAGACTATTCTACCTCTTAACTGCTATTCTTGTCCAAAAATTTTCTTCATATTTAGCTTACTTTTCTACTTTTCAAATCTGATGTCAGGTTTCACATGTCCAAATGTTGATCACATGACTGCAGGAATGCTGCAACCATCGTAAGAGCAAGGAGAGGTCATAAGACATCATTTTCAGTGTTGTTGTAACTTCAAATGATCATCACATGAATGGTTATAAGCGTAGGACTTAAAGGTTTCTCTTGTCCAGTCATGTCCGATTCTAGGGGGTGTGTCATTCTGTCATTAAAAAAAACAATAAACTTACCCCATGACAAAATGTTCGTGATAGAAGCCCATGCTTTCTTGATAATGGTAGCAATTACTTCTGACTAGGCACAAACATGCTGCTTGACAAACTTTTCTGGTTTCTTGCCCAGTATAAATATTAAACTAATTGAACTGTAGATTATGCCCTCCTTCCCTTTTTGAACATTGGGACATCGTGTTCCTCTATCGACGTCTGCATCGCATCATTTCTCTAAGAGATTTCTGAAATTACAGGGTGACTCTGCAGCTGTTCTATTTTAGCAAAAAGCACCTTCCGTGCTTAAATTAAAAAACACAACTGTCTTTTGGTTATGGACGCAGTGAAACAATAAGATCGATCAATTTAACCTTGGTGTTGCCAAGTGTACAGCCCTTCAGCAACAAACTGAGCGATTATGTCCATTTGAAAATCAATCTTAAATTTACCAAAATAATTTGGAAATTCAGCCGCACAGACAGAGATAGATAGCATGGAACGAAGATGCTTTTATTCAGAAAGTCATGAATTCTCCCACAAAATAGACTGGAGAGGCTGTACTTTGAAGAGTTCAGGAATTCCACCTTTCTTATCATGGTAGGTATCCTAAAATGATACTGGCAATGTTGTGAAAAGAGAAGGGAAGGGAAGGGAAGGGAAGGGAAGAATGGCAGCAAGGGAGGATGGGAAGAGAAGGGAAGGGAGGGGTAGGGTTGGGAGGGGAAGGGAGAGAAAGGAAGGAAGGAAGAGAAAGAAAGAAAGAAAGAAAGAAAGAAAGAAAGAAAGAAAGAAAGAAAGAAAGAAAGAAAGAAAGAAAGAAAGAAAGAAAGAAAGATGTTATGAATCAACCAACAGTAATACATCCATTATTACTATACTTATCTACATCATGGGCCAGATTGGATGCAGTAATACAACCACAGGACAGGTTTAGATATCATACACAGCCAGACAATATTTCAGAAGCTCAAAGCTCCAGCTTCTGAAGGCTTTGGGAAACCATGTGATGATGCTATCAGATATACAGACATTTTTACTCCTTTCTTTTATCAAGGAGTAGTAGATTTTAAAGCATACAAAAGGTACCGCTTTGGCCTCAATACCATGACATTTGATTCTTTTCTCTCTTTTTTGCCTTTTTTAATCTTTGTAAGTAAGGCCTCTCTCAAATATCTGGGAACCCCTAATAACAGACAATTACTCCTTACTCCATGGATCAATCTATCTTCAGTACTAGCATGGAAGCGTCATCTCTAGACTGCCCTTGCAAGCTGCAAGATAGCTTGGAGAAGCTATGATAGTCCTACCTTCCTATAACCTCTCTTCCCGTCTCTACCTGGATCACCTGGGCAATCTACTGCTATAAGTGACCTTCTGCCTAGTATTGTAGATCATACCTTTAACTTTCCCTAATTTTTTTACTACTGGTTCTGTGGGAGTGGCTTGGTGGGCATTGGCATGGTGTGGTGGGTTTGGCTTGGTGGGCGTGGCAGGGGAAGGTTAGTGCCAAATCCCCATTCCGTCCCCATCCCATTAACTTGCTTTCCTGCTCCGTTCTCCTGTGCAGGGTAACAAAAGAAGACCCAGCCAATCAGCTGGGACTTGAGAGGCAGAAAATAGGTGGGGGCAGGGCAGAGGTGGTATTCAGAAGGTTCTGACCAGTTCTGGAGAACCAGTAGTGGAAATTTTGAGTAGTTCAGAGAGCCAGAGAATATCATCTTTGACTGGAGATTTTACTGTATCCTTCCCGTCACGACCACCAAGCTACACCCACAGAACCGGTAGTAAAAAAAAATTGAATCCCACCACTGGGGCAGGGCCAGTCAGAGGTGGCATTTTCCGGTTCTCTAGACTACTAAAAATTTCCACTACCGGTTCTCCAGAACTGGTCAGAACCTGTTGAATACCACTTCTGACCAGAGGTGTCAAACTCAAGGCCCAGGGGCCAGATCCGGCCTCGGAGTTACTTAGATCTGTTCCGCGGGGCCACCCTGAAAATTAAGAGGGACCAGCCTGCAGTGCCTCTGCCAGTGAAAACGGAGCTCGCGGGGGCTGCACACGGCCCTCCCGAGCTCCATTTTCACTGGCAGAGGGTTTTAATAGGCTATCATAACCAAAAACAGAGCTCAGGAGCCTGTTTTTGCTGGCCGAGCACTCAGGCCACCACAGGTGACACAGGTGACACCGTGCCCACCATGACTACAGCCACCCAGCCCCCTGACGTCAAAGACAACCTTGATGCAGTCCTCAATGAAATCGAGTTTGACACCGCTGAATTACGCTAGAACAGAAGTGAAGGTGTTGTCGGTGGATAAATACGTAAAATGTCTGGAACGTACCAAACACATCACACGTCTTAACACAATCAGTATAGTTTGAAAAATTGTTTTCATTGCCTCCACAGCCATGGTAATTAAACGCTCTGCATCGATGGAGTTTAGAATCATAATAATATCGAGTACTGTGCTTTTGACACCATCCTTTTTTGGGATTTAATCTGCATCTCTTGGATGTAACTGAAAGATAAGAAAATAGGGTGAAGGACAACCCCTCCCCATAATTCTTCCCTACGTAGTCTGTGGAGAGTCTCAGTCGTCCAGCTCATAAAGGTGCTTTTTTCAGAAGGCAACGGGGCTGTTTCGTTTTTTTCCTTTTGGAAGAAGAAAAATGTTTTGCTTCTCACCCAAGAAGCTTCATCAGTTGACCATTTAAAGTTACACTGAAAAAAGGTAACTTATGACAGTTATTCACACTTACAACTGTTGCAGAATCCTCATAGTGACATGATCAAAATTAAGGTGCCTAGCATCTGATTCATATTTATGACAGATGTGGTCACATGATCCCCTTTTGAGACCTTCTGACATGGGGGAGCCAGAGTCATTTAACAACCATGTTACCAACTTAACAACTACAAGAATTCACTTAACAACTGTCACAAAGAAAGGTTGTAAAATGGGGCAAAAGTCACTTAAATGTTTCACTTAACAACATAAATGTTGGGCTCAGGGCTGGGATGCACATTTTTTAACTACCGATTCTATGGGCATGGCTAGATAGGTGTGGCTAGGTTGGTGTGGCCAGGTGGCCATGTGACTGGGTGGGCAATTTTTTTTTGCCTCCTGGGCCTCCGGGAAGTCTCCTGAACAAAGCAGTACTTTGGTACAACTTTGGGGTGGGGCGGTCAGCTGTGTCGTGCAATTTAGATTAGCTAGAAAGTAAGAAATCTGACAATTTCTTGCTTTCTAGCTAATCTAAATCGTGTGGCACAGCTGATCTTCAGAAAACAGCCGATCAGTGGGCGGGGAGGAAATACCTTGATCTTCAGAGTGAACCAGTTCACTCCCAGCTGATCTTCGGAGCTACAGGTTTGCCTGAACTGGTAGAATTCCACCTCTGGTTGGGCTCAATTGTGATTGTAATTTGAGGACCATCTGTATGCAGGGGTGGGATTCTACCAGTTCTGACCAGTTCTATAGAACCCCTTGTTAACTTTTGAAGCAGTTTGGAGAACCGGTAGTTAGAAGCAATCTCCTTTTGTTTTTTCCCACCCTTATTACATTCTTGCCAGTACACCTGGACTTCCTGTCTCCGGAGCTTCTGGGGCTTGACTTTCTTAAAGGGAAAGCATTGTTTTAAGATTTTTGCACTGCTGTTGGGAGGAAATACTTCCCTGGACAATCAGTACTTTGAAGAAATAATTGAATAATGAAGCAGAGCTGTCAGAAAGAAGCTTTTAAGGACAGGGAACCAAGATGAGTGACATTCAGCAAGGCTTCTTGGCTAGCTAGAAAGATTAACATTCAAACATGAGTTTACACAACCTTTCTGAGTTTTGGTCTAAAACTGGTTTTTGATGAAGGTTAATTCTGTGCTTGGTAAAGTTTAATCCTGTGTTTATTGATGGGATAATTTTCCCTATTCAGCTTCAACAAGCAACAACTACTGTTCTGATGTAATTATTTGTATTGTGTTTGAATTTTTTTCCTGCCTCATGTTTTCTTTTTCTATCTGGGGAGGGGGGGGTGTCCTTTACTGCTTTAGTGGTATCTGTCCATTTGGGGTGCACTTCCAAGAGGCAGGATGCAAGCTTGGCACTGATTTTTTTACTGCCTTTCTGGGGGACATGGATGATTTTCTTAGGATATCATGTGAGGTGAAGGAGACCAGCTGGTGTCTTTTAGTGGTGCAAATGGATTGCTTCTCCTGGTTGTGCTCTTTCTGGAGAGCTTAAATGACCTCTCTGCTAAAGGGTCTCACTTTATGAGCAAGAGTTGGCTGCCGATAGTTATCACTGCATTTTAACTACTTTAATTCCTCAAGGTGCTCTGGCACCCTGCCTGATTTGTAACTTCGACTTGCAAGTATTTTTAATCTAATGATTGGTATTTAGTGCAGCTTTTTGCAAGCAAAGAAGCTTTTTCTATTTTTGTACAGGTTATTCTTGACTTACAACAGTTCATTTAGTGACCATTCAAAGTTACAACGGCACTGAAAAAAGTGACTTATGACCATTTTTAACACTTATCACTGTTGCAGCAACCCCACTGTCATGAGAGGCCAAGCGAGGAGAAGCGCCCCTTGACATGAGTGATGTCGAGTTGGCCACGCCCACCCAGTCACATGACCACCAACTGGCCATGGCCACAGAATCGGTTGTTAAAAAATTGAATCCCACCGCTGTCTGTATAGTATTAAAAGAAATGCACAAACAAACCCAAATCTTCCAGAGAAACCCAATAATAATAATTACAAATTGTGCAAGAGGGACCAGAATGATTCAGCATGAGGCATGAAAATAAATCTTCAAATACCTTTAAAATAAACAAATTCTGAGTTCAAACATTTGCAAGTCTTGGCAGATCCTTACCAAATTTTTTACATTCGTAAAAACAATCCTGTATAGTGGCAAAATTATTTCTGTTGCCACCACAGCCTCCATAAGTGAATTTCAGACATGTTTTTTCCTCGGGATCATAGTAAACCCTTTCCAATGATTTTTTGCATTTTCCTTTCTTTGGCGGTAATTTGCATTTTCGTGGTAGTTCTGGAAAGTATTTGAAAAATGGGAGAACAAAGATATTGCAGAGACTTTAATCTTACCTTGAAAAATATCAAGTCCATGCACAGAAAATGTAATTTTTGTACTTTAAACTTCATTTTGAAAAGAGAAACAAAACCATTTGAAGTCTTGTTTGTGAAATTGCAGCAAAATAGCTGATCTATACTACATTTGTTACCGGTTAACAAAGGGCAAGCTTCATTCAATTCCTCAATTTATTTATTTAGTTTTTTCATTGAACTGTAAACTTACCAACTTCTCCGGTTTTACAACAATGCACTAAACAACAGACTATATAACTGTCGTACTAAGGTAGCACTGAATAAGTGACCTGGTTAAAGATGTTTACTTTGTCACTGATTTGCTTAAACTTGTGAGACAGGCTCACACCAGCCTTCCCAAGTACATTCTCAGTGCTCCAAAACAAACAATAAATGAAACATAAAATAAAATCACTCTGCAATGTGAGCTCAGTTGTCATTCTTCTGCAACCTTTCTGGTTTGCAGCTGTTGCCTAACATCCCAGATAGAGAAGGAGTTGCACCGAGGAGGATAGGTGGCCAAAGGAAAAACATTACCAAGGGTGGGGCTGCTGGGGGTTCCCAGGGGTTCGGGAGAGCCCCAAGCTAAGATTCTGCGCAGTTTGGAGAACCCCCAAATCCCACCCCTGGCTGGCCCTGCCCATCCGCCCTGCCCCTCCCAGGAATCCCCACAACAGAGGCGGTATAATCAGCAGGTTCTGGCCAGTTCTAGAGAACCAGGAAGGGAAATTTTGAGTAGTTCGGAGAACTGGAAAACCCCACCTCTGACTGGCCCCATCTATTCTCGGCCTCCTGAGTCCCAGCTGATTGGCTGGGTCTTCTTGTGTTGCCCTGCACAGGAGAACGGAGCTGGAAAGCAGGTTAATGGAGAGGGAATGGGATTTTGCAGTATCCGTCCCCTGCCATGCCCACCCAGCCATGCCCACCCAGCCACGCCCACAGAACCAGTAGTAAAAAAATTTGAATCCCACCACTGCCCCACGTGGCCCGTTTTGTATGCAGGTAAGTGCTGGGTGTGCGCGAAGGCTCAAGGAGGGCAAAAAACGGGCCTCCCAGAAGTTCGGAAAGGCCAGCTTCCACAGAGCCTCTGGAGCCCGGGCAGGCCATTTTCACCCTCCCAGAGGCTCAAGGAAAGCCTCTGGATCCCGGGGAGGACAAAAAGCCCGTCCCCACTGGGGTGCAAGAGGCCAACTAGACCATGCCCACCATGTCCATGTCCACCTAGCAACTGGGCAAAGAACCTGTTGCTAAAAATTTTGAAGCCCACCCCTGAACGTCACCTGTAAGTCTCACCTTTCTTCTGGTAGCCAGATGTGACAAATTGTAGGATCAGCAGAAGGTAGATAGGGCCCCAGGCCTGCATGGCAATTTTTCTTCTAGAAAGTATTTATTTTTAAGGGAACCCAGTTTATGCCAGTGCTTAAGGGAGAGAAAACCAGTCACTTGGAGAGAGTTGGTTAGGTTTTGATAGATTTTTTTCAGAGCCTGCTCTGCTTTAACTGAAGTTCTCTTCCTGCATTTAAATAAAATATGATTGCTTTTCAGGCAGGGACATGGGGAAACCATAAAGTTAACTGTGGGTGGTCAGGCATTCATTCCTTGAGCATATTATTTTATTGGTGGATTGATTTGGTTTATATGCCGCCCATCTCACCCTGCAAAACAATTAGGGGCTTCCTTGGTTAGAGGCAGTCAGAATTTTGGGATCCTCTGGGAATGTTGAAGAACAATAGAGAGATGCTATCACAAGATGGTGGTCATGGAGGGGCCTGGCCATAATCTGCTCAGCTTTAGGTGGTCTTTTTTCTGCAGATCTGAACCAAGGTGTTGGTTTTTCTGTCCTGTTTTTACTATCATTTGAATGCCAATGAGACCTTTCTGGAATGCACGGGTATTCTGTAAAATCACCTGTAAAGTCATGGAATCAATTATTAATCAATCCATTATCCTCTATTTAGAGACAAACAATCTACTCTCTAACAAACAATTTGGTTTCAGAAGGAAACTGTTCTGTAACCTGCAACTCTTGCACTGCAAAAACATATGGACGACACAACTCGATCAGGGCAAAGCAATAGACGCAATCTACATAGACTTTTGTAAAGCCTTTGATTCAGTGGTACACTAAATCCTAAAACTAAAATCTTATGGTATCTCTGGACACCTGCATAACTGGATAGAAGCATTCCTGTCAAACAGGCAACAAACGGTCAAAATTGGAAGAGTCCTATCAAATCCTGTACCTGTCAACAGTGGTATCCCCTAAGGCGGTGATCTAGGACCAACTCTCTTCATACTCTATATTAATGACCTCTGTGATTACATTAAGAGCAACTGCATTCTTTTTGCTGACGATGTAAAGCTATTCAACACCACTGACAATGCTGCTACCCTTCAGAAAGACCTTGACTATGTGTCAGAATGGTCAAACATATGGCAACTTCAAATCTCAACAAATAAACGCTCTATCTTACATACTGGCAAAAAAAATCAAAAAATAAAATACAGGCTGAATAGTCAAGACATTGTTGATGGCAAAAACTTTGTCAAGGACCTTGGAGTACTCATCTCAAATGATCTAGAGCCCATTGTAACTACATAGCCAAAAAGGCATTAAGAGTTGTTAACCTAATCCTGCGTAGCTTTGTCTCTGGTAATATCACTCTACTAACTAGAGCATATAAAACATTTGCTAGACCAATACTTGAATACAGCTCATCAGTCTGGAACCTGCATTATATATCTGATGTTAACACAGTTGAGAAAGTCCAGAAATATTTTATGAGAAGAATCCTCCACTCCTCTACTCGTAGCAGAATACCTTATGCCACCAGACTTGAAATTTTAGATCTAGACAACCTAGAACTACGCCGCCTTTGGTTCGATCTAAGTATAATATATATGTCCTATCTATCAATGAATACTTCAGCTTTGACCAAAACAATACAAGAACACTAAATAGATACAAACTAAAGATAAGCCACACCAAACTTGATTGCAGGAAATACGACTTCAGCATCAGAGTAGTCAATGTCTGGAATACTCTACCTGACTCGGTGGTTTCTTCCCCAAACCCCAAAATCTTCAACATTAGACTGTCTACTATTGACCTCACCCCTTTCCTAAGAGGTCTGTAGGGGGCATGCATAAGCGCACCAAAACGTGCCTACCGTCCCTTTCCTATTGTTTCTTTTTTTTTCTTATTTGTATCCATTTCATATATTTATAACCATGTTTATACTTATACCTGCTATCTAATAATTGTTTGACTAAATAAATAAATAAATAAATTCTTGGACGTGAAACTCGACATTGCTTTTTTTAATGCAAATAATCTTAAAAATAAGAATGAGAAAAGGAGGTTGCTTACGAATGCTATTTTCGTACAGCTCATTTCTGGAAAGTGAATAAAAGTGTTTTACCTGGATAGAAAATCAGAACAGATTTGGCCGCACTGACTCTGACTAACATATTTTATTAAAAGGCATAAGCTTTTCTGAGCTGCAAATCATGAATCAGCCCTGACTAACATTAGCCCAGCCCCAAAACCTGAATTAATATTTTCTAAGGATGGGTGCAATCCCCAAACAACGGCAGCAGCACTTGAACACCCTTAGCACTGGCAAATCCACCGTCAGTCAATTGTAAAAGACAGCTTTACCTGGAACAGCTTACATCCTGCGATTATATCTGAAACACCATCGAACATCCATATCTTCCTATTCCAAGCTCCTTGGGAAGGATTCAATAGGTGGACAAAAATGCCAAATCCAGTCACTGTGCAATGAAATTATTTGCCACATCAGTATTGAATATGAGCCAGCAATGTGCAGCAGCAGCCCAAAAAGTTAATACAATCCTAGTGGTATAACCAGAGGCATAGAATTAAGATCTCATGAAGTATAAATGCCACTTTACAAAACCCTAGAGTAATGTTAGGAATGATAGTCACTTAACAGTTGGGTTGGCAATATATGAGGGCTATCCACAAAATAGATTACATTTTCGTCTGTAGCAAGAAGGGGCAGAGCTAGCGTGGCCATCTTTGGTCTGTGCGTCCGCTGCTCAGTCTGCATTTAGTCATGCAAGTGGGAGGTTCATATCATTGCCCGTTATTTCACAGCAAATGTTTGAAATGTGTGCTGCAATTGAAAATCCCGCGAGTTGTGAGATGCGGTCAGTGATAAGGTTTTTGTTGGCAAAAAACCATAAACCGATTGAAATTTTAATTGAAAAATTGAAAAACTAAGAAAAGCAATTCAGAACAAGTGTAGAGGAAAGTTAAGCTCAAAAATTTTGTTTTTGCATGACAATGCCTGACCACACACAGCAAATCGCACTTGAGAAGTCCTGAATGCTTTCAAGTGGGAGATTTTTCCTTATCTGCCCTAAAGCCCCGATCTTGCACCAAGCAACTACCACTTGTTTCCGAGGATGAAGACCTGGCTTGGAACACAGCACTTTGATGATGACGCGGAACTGCGGGCGGGCGTGACTGACTGGCTCAAATCTCAGGTGGCTGAATTTTACGACAATGGAATTACAAAGCTTGTTCACCTCTATGGTAAGTGCCTCAAATTGTTCAGTGAATATGTTGAAAAGTAGTATTTAAGTGTCACTTTCAAGTGTATATAATAAAAATTTTTTCCTACACTTTGTTTTTTTTCTATCACAAAAAGTAATCTATTTTGTGGATAGCCCTCGTATAAACCAGGAAAGTCATTTAATACTTTTGTATCTTTAAGAGAATGCTGTAATTGTGATTGGCTGAGGTTCCTCCAATGGCCATAAGATGGAGCCAGAAACCTGGTTTGTTCTTTTTGCATTTTCCTGTTGCCTTTTGCCTGATCGTCATTCTGCTTGAAGTGCTGTGAGTCTTGCAACTGTTCACAAACTTCATTTACTGAACTTTGTTTATGACACTGGTAAAGAAAAGGACTTCGTTTTTGGATTGTTTTGAATACTAACTGCTTTAACCGTGTATGATTTGGACTGTTTGTTGGACTTTGTTTAACCTGTTTACTGGAAGTAAAACTTACATTTTGCTATTCAGTGTATCTGTGTGCTGGTTGTGTGTTATTCATCACCACTCTCACTATGTTTCCCTGAGTGCACTCATTCTCCTAACAGGGAATACCTCAAAAGTAAGACCCTACCTGGAATTCTGCAACCAACTTTTGTTATTTAAAAGATGTTGAGACTTTGGAAAAAGTTCAGAGAAGAGCAACCAAGTTGATCAAAGGCCTGGACACTAAACCATATGAAGAACAGCTGCAAGTTTTGAGTCTGGCTAGTCCAGCGGTGGTATGCTACTGGTTTGGACCGGTTCAGCCGAACCGGTAGTTTAAAAAAAAGCTTCCGATGATCAGCTGAGAGGAGAAAGAAGAGAAAGGTGCAGGATAGACCCTTCCACCCGCCTTTTCTTTATCCTCTCAGCTGATTGGTGCTGCAGGCCTCGGCTGGTGTGGAGAAAGCTGCACGCACGCATCAGGTGCTCAAGCGTTAGATGCTTGCATGATCACCGAATTGGTAGTGGAACAGGTAGGATCCCACTGCTGGGCTAGTCTAAAGAAAAGAAGAATTAGGGGTAACATGATAGTAATATTCCAGTATTTGGGAGGCTGCCACAAAGAAGAGGGGTTGAAATTGTTCTCCAAAACACTAGAAGGCAGGACAAGAAACAATGGATGGAAACTGATCAAAGAGAGAAGCAACCTGGAATTAAGGAGAAATTTCCTAGCAGGGAGGACAATTAACCAGGAGAACAGCTTCCCACCAGAAATCATGGACACTCCATCACTGGAGGTTTTTAAGAGCAGACTGGACAGTCACTTGTCTAAGATGGTATAGGTTCTCCTGCTTGAGCAGGGGGCTGGACTAGAAGACCTCCAAGGTCCCTTCCAGCTCTATTCTATTTTAAATCAAAATCTAAGCCAGTGAACTCAAGTTTATTTATGCATGCTTATTCTAAACGTGAGAGTCCTTGACCCCATTCAACTATTTTTAAGATTAAGGGCTCTGGAGTTACTCTAAGATCAATGGCCACAACTAACTCCTACAACAAGGTTTCTATTTTAAGCATTTTTAATGCTTATGCTTAAGCCATGGTGGTGCAGTGGTTAGAATGCAGTATTTCAGGCTAACTCTGTCACAGCCTGGAGTTCAATCCTGACTGGCTCAAAGTTGACTCAGCCTTTCATCCTTCCAAGGTTGGTAAAATGAGGACCCAGATTATTGGGAGTAAGAGGTTGACTCTGTAAACCGCTTAGAGAGAGATGTAAAGCACTGTGAAGCAGTATATAAGTGCTATTGCTAATGCTAATGCTAACACTAACTCAACAAAGAATTGTAAATATTAAAATCCAATTTAAGCCAGCACTTTTCCTTTAGGACATATGGAAACATGGTTAGAAAAGAGGTATAGAAAATTATTTCAATATGTGATTACTGCATAGTCTACTACTTCAGACTATTATATTCACAAAGCTGGAAAGATTCAACAGTGTTGAATCCAACAGTTCACCAACAGTGCTTGGTGAAATTGACAGAAATTGTAGAGATGGCCAAACTGATTTTTTTGATTAGGGAAAAGTCATTATCAACAGGTGTTACTTCTCCTGCAAGAGTTGCTGAGTTGCTTCTGAGTATTGTTTCTGGGATGGGGATTATTATTCTATTCTTGTTTTATTCTTTTTATTTCTTATATATTGTGTTTTTATTTCTTGTAAGCCACCTTGAGCCAGTAGGCAGCAACATGCATTTTCCAAATAAAATAAATATTCATCAATGACTGAAAACCCCTTATGAACTTTTTGCATAAAAAGAAAACAGTTTTTGGGCTTAGAGTTCGATATTAGCAAGAATAAGTTCAGAAACAAGGGAAATATTTAATGTTAGAGAGAGGTAAAGGCAAGGACGGTGAGAGGGGCAGAAATCCGCTCGTGATTCTAGCCTCCCTTTTCTTGAGTTTGGTGCGATCTTTCGGGGTGCTCGAGTCTTGGAGAGACTCGTGCCGGTGTGGGGGAACCTCGGGCTGCAGTGTGGGGAAAGCAACCCCCCTGTAACGAAGAGGAAGCCCTCCAGAGCCCAACGATCAAGAACAGCCTCCTAACAATGGAGGCTCCGAAGTCCGGACTGCCACCGATGGGAAGAAAAAAGTGAGTGAAAGTTTGCAAGCTCGGGGGGGGAAAGAGAGTCGTGGCAGAGAAGATATTTGTTTGACAATAGACTGATTCCAGGCTGTTAAATACTGTGTGAATGCCAGCTGTGAGCTCCAAGACGAAGCGGCTACAAAAGAATTGGTTTAGTGAATGTGAAAGAGCTTGGCAGGCAGAAGAGAGTCGGAAATAAAAAAGAAGTAAAAAGAATTTTGGAAGTCTGAAGACTCTATTATCACTAACATTTGGATTGAAGCTATTAAATTGGATCCAGAAGCAGAACGAAGCCGATTGGGGGGAAAGACAGAGCAACTCCATAGGCAGCACCCAGAACGTTGAAACGAGTGGGAATATTGCTTACTGGCAGCTGTTACTCAGCAAATCTTCATTTGCCATTTCCGGTGTGCTAGAAGTGGAAGCTTCCAAAGTGAAAAGCGGAAACAAAAACTCTTGTCTTTGGAATTTTCTTTTTTCTTTTTCTCAACCCTTTTCTGTGTGTACATACTTACTAAAAATAGCCTCTCTTCTTTCTTATTTGTTGATGGTATGCTATGTTGAAATATGCTTGCTTTTTTTTTTTTTTTTTCCCTCTGATTTCCTCTTGATAAATATGTACATTTAGTAATGAAATATTAGAGTGTTAAAATATTGGATTAATTTAGTTAAGTTATTATTAATAGAGATTGTTATAATTTGAATGGGAATATAGGGGAGACAGTAAGAATATTAAGCATTAGCTACTTAATAAGCTTAGAGCTCTCTAGACCAATATTATATTTCTTTGTGTGGGTTTATCTGTGAATGTAATATATTTTATAGTTAAGGTTACTTTATATTGAAGTTAAACTAGAGAAAAATATATACACTTTACTAATTAGTCAAGAATATAGCTACTTAATAGGTTGATAGATCTTGGTCAATTTTAGTTACAGAACTAAGAATACTGAATGCCAATTTGGAATAATATATTCAATATTGTACAACAACAAAAACAAATTTTGAAGGAAATGACTACTACAACTACCACTGCTTTGAAATCTGGTAGGAAGGTTAATCCCACAATAATGTCTACTTTGACAACAACTTCACCCATGGCACAAAAAACAATAGAGGAAACACTACCAACAGAGAAGTCAACTAGCATCTTGAATGCGAATATCCAAGCAATGTTCCTAACTTTACAGGACTCATTGACAAGATTGCAAGAAACAATGATTAAAAACCACAGTGAAACAAGGGCAGATATCAATGAATTGAAGGAAGAAATGGGGAAACTAAAGACAGAAATGAAAGCGGACATTTCTAAAGTAGAGGATAAAGTGGGGGTGTTGCAGCAGGCCTTGGAGAAAAACGAAGTTATAATAAAAGAAGTAGAGAAAAGAACCGAACGAACAGAAAGGGAATTAGAAAGGGTGGATGAAGATTTCAAAAGCATGAGCAAAGAAATGGAGGACTCCCTTGTCCTCCTAGAAATGGACAAGGCAGCAACTTACCTAAGATTCCAAAATGTGACAGAATCAAAAGAAGAAGACCTGGAATACTTGATGGCAGAAATACTGGCCGGTTTATTGAAGATGGATAAAGATGAAATTCAAAAAGAGTTTGATGAAGTCTACAGGGTCAATACAAATTATGCAAGACGCCACAATTGTTCTAGGGAAGTACATATACGATTCACTAGAAGATGTGTTCGAGACATGATATACAGAACCTCAAGAGATAAAACTATAACCTACAAAGAGAAAGAAATTGTGATTCTTAAACAGATACCGAGGAGAATAAGGGAACAAAGGCGTGACTATAAATTCCTGGCAGCATATTTAAATAAAAAAAGAATCACATTTAAATGGCTTATTCCAGAAGGAATGTTAGTGTCGTGGAAAGAGAGGAAAATCAAAATAGATACTATGGAAAAAGCCCAGGATTTTTTTTTTTTTTTTCACATTTACTTTTTTTAAATGTACTTCCTTTGCAGAATGAATTCTTTCATTATAACATGGAACTTCTGTGCAGAGAGAGGGCAATGGGATTTCCAGTGGGTGGCTGAACACCTTTTATCCTTGTTGTCCTTTTCTCAAATCGTAAGAGAAGCGGGATATAGAGAAACAACTTCCCAAATTAGGGGGTTTCTTCACAGTTGTTGCCTCTTTTCCTAGTAAATTACATGTAAAAAATGTGAACGTTCTGGTTTTCTTGCTTTGCTTTCAAAATTGTATGAAGGTGAAATGAACGTTTTTGCCTCTAGCTGAAGATGGTGAAATTCCAAGCCAGGTAGAATGAGGGCTGATCAGGTTTTTCTCAGGTTTTTCTTTTGGTCAAGACCCTTTGACCCCCCACATAACTCTTTAGGTCTGTCTCTATAAAAGAAAACAAGTCAACCAAAGGCAACTTTACGAGTATTTTTACTCCACAAGCCACCAGAATGAATTCCAAAACAAACTGTGAAGCTAACGCAGCACCTGAACTCCCAGTAAGTTAGGGTTTTTGTGTTTTTTGGGGGGGCAGGTGTCAGTTCTATATAATGCTCCAACTGGAAACTGCATTTGGCAGATGAGAGATATAAAGAATAAAGTAGTGCAGATTAAAGGGCTATTGCTAAAATCACTCTTTGTGCTCTTGAGCAGTTGTCCCACCAAGATTAACTATGGGCTTTTTAAAAGTCATACAAATGCTAATTTATCAAATGGGCTCCTCTGTTCTAATCAAACTGCTTATTTTATATTAATCTATCTATAAACCTTTGGGGAGAGGAAGAGGGGAAGGGGGTGGCAGCGAGGAAGGGGAGGTTGAGAAAGAGTTGTTGACTATGTTGATTGTAGGACTGTAACTTTGTTGCTTGTATCCTTATGATTTATACTGATTGTTTCCTAGTATGATTTGATTGCTGATTGTACCCAATGACTATCATTAAGTGTTGAACCTTATGATTCTTGATTCTTAATGAATGTATCTTTTCTTTTATGTATACTGAGAGCATTTACACCAAGATAAATTCCTTGTGTGTCCAATCACACTTGGCCAATAAAAAATTCTATTCTATTCTATTCTATTCTATTCTATTCTATTCTAATCAATAGTAAAAAATTTATTTCTTAGTCTAATCGGCTATCCAAAGGGTAGAGAATAAGCATCCAAAGCAAATGAACCTTAGAATGAATATAGTATTTATAACACTCAAGCCTTTCTCTTTTTAACTTGAAAAGGTAGATAACACTGAGAATTCCCCAGTTCAACTCTGAGCTACTTATATTGAAAAGGAAGATAATAGAATAGAATTCTTTATTGGCCAAGTATGTATCTTGAAGTATGAAGTATCTTTTCTTTTATGTATATTGAGAGTATTTGCGCCAAGACAAATTCCTTGTGTGTCCAACCACACCTGGCCAATAAAGAATTCTAATTTGATCAACCCTTGCCTTTCCTAGCTGGTCCTTATTTTAAGGGATTATTCCATTTTTTTCTGTCAATATATAATATTATTTACAGCTATCCTCGACTTAACAACTATTTGTTTATTGACCATTCAAAGTTACAGCGGCACTGAAAAAAGTAACTTATGACCAGATTTCACACTTATGACCATTGCAGCATCTCCATATGATTTACATTTGGATGCTTGACAACCGGTTCATATTTATGACAGTTGCAGAGTCCCGGGGCTGTGTGATCCCCTTCTGCAGCCTCTGACGAACAAAATCAATGGGAAAGTCAGGTTCCCTTAAACTGCAGTGATTCACTTAACAAATGTGGCAAGAAAGGTCACAAAACAGAGCAAAACTCACCTAACAAGTGTCTCATTTAGCAACGTAAATGCTGGGCTCAATTGTGATCATAAGTCGAGGACTATCTGTATTAAGAAAGGATTTTCCACTTTGTTCAGGCTATTAAGGGAGTCCATTTTTATTTTAAAGGTTGGGTATGCAGAAGTAGTTTTCTGCAATTTGGTGCCCTCTTTTGTTTCCTGTATAAATGGCCACAACCTAAGAAGAAGAAGAAGGTGGGTGGGATTTGGGAGGGGGTAGGATAACATTCTTCTGAATTTCCACTTCCCAGCTAAGCCTCTGACTCTTTCCCCAGGGACTCAAGTTTATCCCCAGAATTCCAAAAGACAGGAAGCAAGTGATTCTCATCTCCTCGGTGTTGGTGCTTTTGACTGCAGCAATTATTGCAGCCATTCTCATTGGGGTTTATATTACTCAGGAATACACTGAAAGGGTGAGTAGGACCTATAAGTGCTCAGTTCTTGACTTACAGCCACTCATTTACTGATTGCTTGAAGTCACAACAGCACTGAAAAAAGTGACTTATGACCAGTTCTTGCAGCGTCCCTACAGTTGTGTGACTTAAAAAATTGGGACTTAGTAACCAGCATGTATTTTAACAGATTTTAACAGAATAACAGAGTTGGAAGGGACCTTGGAAGCCTTCTAGTCCAACCCTCCACTCAAGCAGGAAACCCCATACCATTTCAGACAAATGCCTGTCCACTCTCTTTTTATTATGATGGTTGAGCCTTCCTGGGGCCATGGACTTACCATTCGTGATCTTCCAAAAAGACTCCCAACAAGCAAAGTTGGTGGGAAGCTGGATTCACTTATTGTATTGTATTGTATTGTATTGTATTGTATTATTTTATTTTAGTTCGTTTATTTATTTATTTATTTAGTCAAACGCTTACAATATAATAGAAATAAGGCTAAACATAAGTTTAAGTACAAGAAATAGGAACTAATAATTGGGGACAATAGGACAGGGATGGTAGGTGCAATTGTGCGCTTATGCACGCCCCTTACAGACCTCTTAGGAATGGGGTGAGGTCAACAGAGGTTAGTTTGAGGGTAAAGGAGTGGGGGTTTGAGCAGGTGACAACAGAATCAGTTAGTGAGTTCCAGGCATTGACCACTCTGTTGCTGAAGTCGTACTTCCTGCGATCAAGTTTGGAGTGGTTTACATTTAGTTTATATCTGTTGTGTGCTCTTGTGTTGTTGAGGTTAAAGCTGAAATATTCATTAACTGGTAAGACATTGTAACATATGATTTTATGTACTATGCTTAAGTCCAGTCTTAGCTGGCATAGTTCAAGGTTGTCTAAGCCTAGAATCAGGGGTGGGATTCAAATTTTTTAACAACTGGTTCTGTGGGCATGGCTTAGGTGGTGGACGTGGCTTGGTGGTCATGTTATTGGTTGGGTATAGCCAACTCAATATCATTCACATCGAGGCACGCTTCTCCTCGCCTGGCCTCTCGTGACTGTGGGGATGCTGCAACAGTCGTAAGTGTGAAAAATGGTCATAAGTCACTTTTTTCAGTGCCATTGTAACTTTGAATGGTCACTCCACACAAGCAAAGTACCAGCAAAGGAGGGGGGAAAAAACTCCAGAGAAGTTCCTGAGACAGGAAGTCTAGTCCTGCTAAGAATGTAATAAGGGTTAACGGAGAGGCAGTTTCTGTAAGCAACACCAGAATGTTTCCTTCCTGCCTTCCTTACAGGATTAGGCCAGTAATTTCTTCTAACAACTGGTTCTCTGAACTGCTTAGAATGTTAACAACTGGTTCTAGCGAATAGGGGCGAACTGGTAGAATCCCACCCCTGCCTAGAATCTCAAGTCTGGTGGTGGAGGATATTCTGTTGCGAACAGTGGACTTAGTAACCATGTGATTCATTTAACAACAATGGCAATGAAAGTTCATAAAACCAGGCACAATTCGCTTAACCACCTTGCTTAGCAACCAAGGTTCTGGTCCCAGTTGTAGCCATAAATTGAGGATTATCTATGCAGGGACAGCTCAAAGGACCCCCTTGAGATGATCAATGCCAACAAAGAACAATACACAAAACATGCTTGCTAGTTGTGTCTTGTCTCCTGTGCAGATAATCAAAACCATCAGCAACGGAAAGGATGGTCAGACAGTGGAGCGTACCATGATGGTGAACAACCAGGAAAGAGTGGCTGCATTTTTGATCAAGACCAATAAGACTTCTGCAACAGTTGTCTATGACTACAAAAATGTAAGAAATATTCCAAACCAATTGCCAGGATCTCCCGTCTTCACTCCAGCTCCTGCCCACCTAGCAGTTCGAAAGCATGCAAATGCGAGTAGATAAATAGGTACTACTTCGGTGGGAAAGTAACAGCACTCTGTGATGTCATGCTGGCCACATGATTGCAGAAATGTCTTTGGACAGTGCTGGCTCAACGGCCTTGAAACGGAGATGAGCACTGCTCCCTTTATCCAGCAATGATTAGCAGAATAAAATCCATAGGAACTCCTTATTACTTCAGAGTTTAGGGGCTTCCCTGACATTGAGTCCGACTTCCTAATCAGTGCAGAAATCCAAATTAAAACATCACTGGCAGTCAACTGTCTTGCCTTTGCTTGAAAAGATCCAATAAAAGGGAGCTCTTGGGATAGTCAGTTCCATGGTCTAATATTTTGCTAACATTTACAGTCTCAAAATCCTTTCATTTATCCTGAACATGTTGGTTCTATTTTTGCTCCTAGCATCTGATTGGCATCCGAATTCAGGATAAGAAACAATGCTCAGTGGTGGCAATGGATTCAATTGAAGTTCCCAGTTTACATGAAGTTGCCCGCAGAATCGAACATTTTGATGAACAGGTGAGAAAGAACGGATGGGGAGAATTGTTTGCTGCGTTCTTTGTCAAATAATACAATGTAGAAGCAATAACCTAGCAAGGATTTGTAACAATTTCAGTGTCAGTTAAGTCAGGTGGTTTGGAAATTTGATAAATAAATAAAAACATAACCGTAGCCACTG